CTCACAATTTGCATAAATATATACATTTTTGGTTAATAAAAACATGGAGGAAAGACCTACTACATTGTATATCTTAAAAATACACTTTTATGACACAACATTCCCATCTTTCCAAGAAATACTTGAAGTCCATTTAGTCAAGGGTCATATCACAAACGATTTAAATGCCAACATTCATCGAAAGCTGTGTAGCGTAGTGGTTAGCGCATTAGTGTCAAAAGAAAATGATACTCAGGATTTTTATCGCTAGGGTTCGCACCACACAAATACCAATTTTTCTTTTAAACAGAATAATTTTACGGCGAAATTTTTCCTCAGAAAAGTTGAATCATTTTTTCATAAATTTCAATAATGAGAACTTTAAATACTAAATTCACAAAATGAATATGATTTTTATAATATTTTTGAAGCTATAGGCATTCTGCACGCCTTGTTCTCCCATCTCCTTTAGTACCATTGTGCATAGCTTCTTTCAACTGATTTTATTCACTGAGAAATAGTTGCTTAGTTACAAGATCCCATGAATTCTTGTATGTGACGGGAATCAGTTTTTTTCCCCCTCCACTCCCACTCTGCCTGGAATGGAAGACAATATAATTTTTTTTACTTTAGCGTAACTGCAGCTATCAATCCCATAAAAGAAAACAAGAAGTCATATGTAACTCAGTATTTTCTATGTATTTTTTTCTTAAGATTTAGTACAATGCCTCTGACATAAAAGTTGAGCTGTTCCCAAGAAATGCAGCTTTCTACTAATAACATACATCACCTTATGAAGCAATTCAGTGTTTTATCCCCCCTTTCCTTATTTTCTAAAAGCATCAACAAAAGCATATGATTTTTCATAAGAAAAAAAATGACAAGAGTACTAGTAACAAAAATATAGAAATATAATATGTAAAAAACAGAAAAAAAATCTTAGAAAATAAATGCAAAGATGAGAAAAGACCTCATAAACACAATTTCTTTTTCATGTTTTAGAAAATACAAGTAACAAAATTCGGTATTAATTTTTTCTCAAAATCTTGACTGACAGTGATTCAATAAAGCTGACCATCTTACAGAAAGATCAAGGACTCCTTGCTTCCTGGGAACTGATAAATCTCTCTTTCTCTCTCTCTCTAAATAATGCAGACAACACAAAAGCTGCAGTCACAACAATAAGATCCATACCGGAATCTACTATGTACACTATTTACAAAGAATCCAAAAATAAACCAAACTGCTTTGTACAAGAATTTAGGTCCACTGCTCCACAGAAACTAACCAAGTAACCACCACTTTGTTTTCTCCACCGTTTGTTCATTGATGCTCAGCTTTGATCAGAGAGGGTGGTTCTATCTACATGTACAACTGCACAAAAATCACTACTATAAACTAGTATTCACAATGAGAATTTCTGAGCAGACTTTCTAGTCTAGACATCTTGAAAACTACATATATACAGCCTACGTAAAGCATCCAAAACAATGCCACAATAAGTAAAAATATGGAAGTTCTGTGAAGCAGTGTAACATAGCACTATAGCCCCTGTGCCTACTTAATATAGGACTGAGCCTGTACAAGCAGATGTTTCTATATTTACAGAGTAAGTTACATGGTTTTATATACAGATGCTGATGCTCGTGTATTATGTATGTGAAGTGGCAGTATCACAGTCATGTGTAGATGTGTGTAATGTTTGCCTCCTGCGTTTTTATCCAAAATCTCCATGTGAAGTTATGATCAAAAGCGAGTTTCCCCACTTTAAAAAATGCTTTGAAACAAAATTTAAGGCACCATAACCATATTTCAAAATTTATATTACCTTCTACACTAGTCAGTATTACCTGTTTCAACTTCAAATACTGACTTTCCTTTACAAAGTCCCACTAATGACTTAATTCAAAGACAGAAACTTGTGGAATTACAATATAGACAAGAAGTATCTAATACAATACTTCAAAAAAAAACTACACAGTTTGTTAAGTAGAGAAGAATAATAAATAATGTAATTAATAAACAAGAGGCCCAAGGGCCTTAACGGTCACCTGAGTACAATACAACAATTTAGAGGATCCATAAACTGAAAAATGAAGCTTTGTTGCCCAAAAGCAAGAAAAATAGTATGATTAGCATCAACAAAATAATTGGTCTAGTATCTATCTGCCTATCTGACTTTCCAAGTCATTAAATCTATGAAAGTACATTTTCATTATACAATAAATTATCTTGCATAATTCTCTTATTCTATTAAGCTTTCAAATACATTATTTACATTGATTAATTATCAAAGGTGAATGGCAAAGGGGAATAACTTTGCTCAGCAGAATACAAGTTAATAGAGCCCTGGCCAGGACTAGAACACTTGACTAAATGGTCCAGGTGTTCAAAAATCTGGTAAAAATACCCTTGCATATTAAAACTTTTACTCTGTTTGCCTTGAACATCCCCAGAAGCATAGAAGATTTTCAAAGAAATGCATTTTCACCATAAAATTAAATAAATAAAGCCCCATCCTTACCCAGAACATCTGACCCATTGGCCACGAACTCACAATTCTGGAAGAAGCACCCTTTCTCATTATAACTATACACTTGTTTCTTTACTTTATAACCAGTAGTAGAAAAAATATTTTGAAAGAAATTATGCATTTTCACTGTATATAATCAATACAGCTCTTTCCCCCTCACCAGAACCCCTGACCCAAAGGCCATGAGGCATTCTTCCTTATCATAACCATGCACTTCCTTTGTTTGAAAAATACCCAGGCGCACACAAGATTTTGAAAGAATTCATGCCAATTCCCTATCTAATCAATAAAGCCCCGCCCTAACACCAGAACCCCTTACCCAGAGGCCATTAAATTCATAATTTCTGAGGCAGCCATGCTCATCATAACTATGTACTTAGTTTATTTAATATCCAGGAGCAGAGAAGATTTTCAAAGAATTAATGCAATTTTACTATATAATCAATGGAGCCCATCCCTAACACCAGAACCCCTGACCCAAGGGCCATGAAACAATTTCTGAAAAGGCAGTCATGCTCACCATAACTATGTTCTTAGTTAGTTTATTTAATACCCAGGAGCAGAGAAAAAGATTTTCAAAGAATTAATGCAATTCTACTATATAATCAATAGAGCCCTGCCCTAACACCAGAACCCCTGACCCAAGGGCCATGAAATTCAAAATTTTGGAAGAGGCACTCTTGCTCATCATAACTATGTACTAAGTTACTTTATTTAATGCCCAGGAGCAGAGAAGATTTTCAAAGAATTAATGCATTTTAACTATATAATCAATAGAGCCCCACCCTAACACCAGAACCTCTGACCCTGGGGCCATGAAATTCACAATTTTGAAAGAGGCACTCTTGTTCTTCATAACTATGTACTTAATACCCAGGAGCAGAGAAAATTATTGCAATTCTACTATATAATCAATAGAGCCCTGCCCTAACACCAGAACCCCTGATCCTGGGGTCATGAAATTCAAAATTTTGAAAGAGGTACTCTAGCTCATCATAACTATATACTAAGTTAGTTTATCTAATACCCAGGAGCAGAGAAGAAGATTTTCAAAGAATTAATGCCTTTTCACTATATAATCAATAGAGCCCCACCCTAACACCAGAATCCCTGACCCTGGGGCCATGAAATTCATAATTTCAGAAGAGGCACTCTTGCTCATCATAAATATGTACTAACTTAGTTCATTTAATATCCAGGAGCAGATAAGATGATTTTCAAAGAATTAATGCATCTTCACTATATAATCAATAGAGCCCCGCCCTAACACCAGAACCCCTGACCCTGGGGCCATGAAATTCACAATTTTGGAAGAGGCACTCTTGCTCATTATAACTAAGTACTAAATTAGTTCATTTAATACCCAGGAGCAGATAAGAAGATTTTCAAAGAATTAATGCATTTTAACAATATAATCAATAGAGACCCGCCCTAACACCAGAACCCCTGACCCTGGGGCCATGAAATTCACAATTTTGGAAGAGGCACTCTTGCTCATCATAACTATGTACTAAATTAGTTCATTTAATACCCAGGAGCAGATAAGAAGATTTTCAAAGAATTAATGCATTTTAACTAATGTATATAATCAATAAAGCCCTGCCCTAACACCAGAACCCCTGACCCTGGGGCCATGAAATTCACAATTTTGGAAGAGGCACTCTTGCTCATCATAAATATGTACTAAGTTACTTTATTTAATACCCAGGAGCAGAGAAGAAGATTTTCAAAGAATTAATACATTTTCACTATATACTCAATAGAGCCCTGCCCTAACACCAGAACCCCTGACCCAGGGGCCATGAAATTCACAATTTTGAAAGAGGCACTCTTGCTCATCATAACTATATACTTAGTAAATTTATTTAATACCCAGGAGCAGAGAAGAAGATTTTCAAAGAATTAATGCATTTTCTCTATATAATCAATAGAGCCCCGCCCTAACACCAGAACCCCTGATCCTGGGGCCATGAATTTCACAATTTTGGAAGAGGCACTCTTGTTCTTCATAACTATGTACTTAGTTACTTTATTTAATACCCAGGAGCAGAGAAGAAGATTTTCAAAGAAATAATGCACTTTCCCTATATGATCTATATAGCCCCACCCTAGCACCAGAACCCCTGACCCTGGGGCCATGAATTTCACAATTTTGGTAGAGGACTCAATGCTTATTACAATGATGCCAACAGTTTGACTGCTTGATGTCCAGGAGTAAAGAAGAAGATTTTTAAAGATTGCATTATTTTTGGTGGTTTTAGCCCCACCCCTCAGGCCCCAGGGGGGCAGGGACCATGGAATTCACAATTTTTGTTCCCCTTCACCCATAGGTGCTATATGCCAAATTTGGTTGAAATTGGTTAAGCGGTTTCAGAGAAGAAGCTAAAAATGTTCAAATGTTAACACACGACGCACACCGCACGACGCACGCCGACGGACGAGAACGGATAGCAATAGGTCACCTGAGTGACTCAGGTGACCTAATAAAAAGTTAGCGATAGTCAGAGTAAGACCGAGAGCTTCCCGACTTGCGATGCTTGGACTTCTTTGATTTCTGATGATGGGAGGATGAACCATGATAGTTTTTAGGCGAGTGATTGTAATGGGATTGCTGTTCAGAATCATGGGAATTTTTGTACCCATGTTTATAGTCCCTCACTGGATGTCCATTGGCTGGTTGTTGTTGATATGAGGATGACTGGTAGCTGTTGTAAGACCCAGCATTATTCTGACTGTATGGGACAGTGGCCTGATGCTGTCCTGTGTGAAACACAGCTTGGGAGGGTCCTGGTGTCTGTACAAACTGATTCCCCCCTGCTGGAGCCTGAGGAGGAGGCGTCTGATAGTGATTTGGATGGGAGGTTGAGGGGATGTAATGCTGTCCCTGTTGCTGTTGTGGCGTTGGGTAGGGTTGCTGAGGCCGTACTTGAGGAGGTATAGGGTACTGCTGATTTGGCGGGGCTGATGTAAAGGGAGTCTGCACTGGCTGGGGAGGAGGGTGTGAGAAATTTGCCGGCTGGGCCACACTGCTAAATGGTTGCTGAATGTGGGAAGGCAGACCTGAAACAAGGAATAATTTTAAGATATTATCTTCAAGCAGTTTCTTAGTTAAAATTGTGGAATTACTTCAATAAATCAGAATTGAAGGTTTAAATCTTTTTATCCAGTATCAAGAATACTGACCAGGCTTGGGTACGTATGGTTGTTGACCCGGGTCATGGTGCCCATTTACAGGCTGGGCTAAATTTGCTGCATTACTCCCTCCCTGAGTATGGCCACTTCTTCCCTTTGTATGGTAGGAAGGAATAGACATAAGAGAGGGGATCTTCTGGCCAACTGTTGGAGCTTGTCCCATGTGGCTACCCATAGGTCCATTTGATGGGGGTGGCACAGGTGCTGGAGGGGGGACAGGCTGAGGAGGAGGCCCTCCATGGTTCATCAGGGGTACCTGTCCTGGCATCATCATGTTCCCATTATGTGGCCCCTGGGGAGGTGGTGGCACCATTGTTGGAGCTGGTACCATCCCTGGAGATGGCATTCTGTGTGGATGGTCTCCATGAATGGAGTGGGGAATCTGAGGGGGTTGTACCCCACCCAGACCTGTATATCCACCTGACAGAGGAGCCTTGAAGTTTCCACCCAGCTGCTGTGGTGGCTGTTGAGGGGGAGGCGGCGGTTCTGTGGCTGTCGTCTCTGTAAAAGATAATAAACATTATCAGAAATCATCACAATAATGATCTTTTTTCTCTGCATTTTTTATTGATAATTGTGAAAATGTGCAGCAAAAACATTCACTGTGTAACTACAAAAGTTCAAAACACTCTGTGACAAAGAATCTAATGTATGATTATCAGTCCTTCTCCTACATGTAAATCAAGCAGATAAGATTTTATTTCTTTAAAAAGAAATAGCGAATTGTTTACATAAGTTTTATTTTCTATATCTTAATTTCTAAACTAGCTAATATATCCATCACCAACACACAAGATCCCCTGCATTATATATTCTGTAACCATGCTATACATTTCTGATGTTCCATATGACTTTGACAGTGCACGGCATGCAGTAAGCCGGTCTGTCGTCACTCACCATATGGCTGGGTGCCTGATCCCCCCGAGGGAGGGGGAGGAGGTGGAGGGGGCATGTCATGTGAACTTTTCCTGGATCGGTTCAAACTTCTCTCTAAAATGGTCAGAATGAAGCACTTGGCTATTTTGGCAAACAAGCAACATTTTTCTCTTATTGTCTACTTGTACAAAGTATTGCTAGAGCATAATGCTGTATATTGCAGTGTAAAACATGTGTAATGTGCATCACACTTAGCAAAAAATGTTTTCATGATCTGTCTCTTACACTTTTTTGCCCACTTTAGTAACACAATTATCATGATTATAGCAAATGCCAGGGACAGCTGAAATTGTTTCATATAGCTCTTATTTTCTTATTTCTAGACCGTAATTTATTCTCTGGTATTGACTGAATTGTCATATTAAAACATAAATTCACTGTACTTATGTTTGCTATAAACATGTTGTATTGAATACATATTATTTTCTTAATTAGCTCTTCATTCATGATAAGTGACATATGAATGTAATAAATGGAGGACAGCTTAGACTTTATTGGAATTTCCATCTCCTTTTATTTCTTTTACAGAAAATTTTCATATAGACTTCAGTGCAATATTGTGCATTTGTGGAAGCAACACTTAAAGCCCACAACCACATTAAAAATTCAACACATTCTTACCTTCTTTGCCAGTATCATCTTCTGAATCTTCAAATCCAAATTCCATTTTCAACCTCTCTGTTAAACTCAAAGGTTTTTCCCTTTTAGGAGCTTCCGTAGACTTGCGTCTTATGAGATCAGACGAACCTAAAATGAGACAAATAACTTTAGTCTTAATTCTGTAATTTACAAACACTGATTTAAAATCAAATTTGACATATTCAGATTTTTTTCTTTATTAAACTGCTAAAATTAGCAGTTTAAGAAAAGTTATATGATCCTTTTCATCTATTCTGGTGTGTCCACTTACTTTTGAATTGACGGTGATTATGAGATGATGATTCTTTGGATGGAGACGTATCAAACAATGGTAGAGATGGTAGGGATGGTAGTCTGGTGTGTACACTGAAAGATGGACTAAGCGATGATGTGGATGATGGTCTGGGAACTGATGACGAGGATGAAGACGTTGATGAGGAAGAACTGCTAGGTCCTTTCCCCTTTAGTCTTTTTCTATACTCCAACAGACTGACCTTAAATTATGAAAAAAAGATTAATTCAACTAAACAATTTATCTGAAAAATAATATTTGAACAGAGGTGGATCCAAATATGGACTGTTTCTATATCCCTGTAGTAAAACAGGTTCATGTAAAGCTTACTCTGTATCAAAAGTAATTTTTCATCATTATAATAAATCAATTAAATTAGCTGGCATCTCTAAGCAAGAGCACTAACCTTCTTTTTGGTAGGAGCTGGTTCAGCTTCAGGCTCCATTATGCTGGATCCTTGTGGGGGTTCCGAGTCTGCTGGTGAAGCAGACAGCTCCGAGGGAGTTGTTATTGTAATGGAGTCTGAATGTGAATTATCATCCTCATTGTGAATTTCTGACCCCACCTCTTCATGTGAAGACGTGCAGGATAGTTCCTCAGAGTTCCTGACCATGTGGAAACCGCTATCCTGATTGGATGATACGGCATTGTCCACTAAAGCCTGACTGAGGTCCGACACATTCACAAGTTCAGCTTCCACTGTGATTTCAAATCTATCAGACACAGAACTATCCACCATATCATTCTCTATGACTGAATTGTTAGAAGTTACTAGTGCTGAAGAGGTCACACGCCCCCCTCCTCCCCCTTCTGATAAATGTGTGGATTCCACAACAGAATCCTCTTGTCTTAATTCACTACTGCTGCTCACTCCACCGCACGAATTCCTGCTGCCCTGCTGATCACTACTGCTATCCACACTACTGTCTACACCTGCTAGCCTCTCCTCCACCGTTGACACTTCCTGTTGAGAATTACTCTCCACTGGGAGTTCATCCACTTCCATACTGACTTCCTGTTTCTGTGATGACAAGGTATCTGTGCTGCTATCCACACACTGTGGTTCTGCTAATCTAATACTAGTCTCAGTGTGTGATGTCATAGAAGATGGATGACAAACATCCTCCACAACAGAAGTACTACAAGAAGCCTCAGTAACACTGTTATTACAAGAGTCAGCCCTTGAGGAGCGTCCACTACTGCACACATCAGAACGAGATGTACTATCACAAACACTTCTCCTCAGGATTGGCTTTTCCCTCTGATCCTCAGTGCTATCCACCTCCATTGGATCCACCTCCAAATTCACAGAAACACTTTGATCCTCCACTTCTACTTCCTCTTCTTCTGACAAAGCCTCAGCCTGCCTCCCCTGCAGTCCACTTGACACATTTTCATCCTCTTCAACAACATTTAGTCCCAATGGTCTCTGAACTGAATCACTAGTGGAGTCTAGTTTATCTGTCTCAACATGTACACCACAATTAACACTTTGATCCTCCTCTGAACTGTTTGTCACTTCACATGTATGACTGGTGTCACTTAATAAAGACTGATCATTACCAGAAGTCCTGTCTTCCATACTGACCAGTTCAGTATGAAATGTACTACTACTACTACTACCCGTAACTTTCTGAGGACAAACACTGAGTTCTTGTTCAGAGTCCGAGGACTGATCTACCGAGACTCTGGAGGACACAGTAGCTGAGGAGTCAGAAACTTCACTCTCCATAGAATCACGAATGCTGGCCTTCCTCAAGTCCCGAGGACTCACAAATGCTCGCTTCTTCGGAATCTCCATCTGTAAACAGTTCATATTAAAATCAAATAAAATCAAATCCCCTGTCTATCTCTTAATTTTGAAAAAATAAAATCAAGTGCATTCGATGCAACATGAAACAAGTTGCAAGAAGGAGGCATTTACCTTAATACTAGGGGTATAAATCGGAGAGAAAGGTTTAACCTCCTCCTGGACCTCTGAAGGCTGGGCTTCAGAATCTCCTGGCTGACTGACCCCGGGGGTCACTGAGGGAGATGAAGTGGAGGGGCCAGCACTTAAGGGTGCATCAATTGACTCCCTTGCCATTCTTCTCTTTTTAAGGGGAGTCACAAAGTCTGAAACATAAGCAAATTGTCTATAAAACAATGTCTAAAAAAATATAAATTCCTCAATTCTTGAAAGGATAAGTCAAATTCAAATCTTACAAATAAAGACATGTAATATTAACAGTTAAGCTACTTCTATCCTTTAAATAACCTCAATTAACTGTATGTATGATAAAGGAATTACAGTCTCCATTAAAGTCAATGAGGGTTCCTTACCTCCAGGTGGAGAGGCCCCAGGGCTAGGTAGGCTTGGGCTGGCATTACCTCCCCCTGTTGTGTTTGGGGAGTTGGGTCCACTCTCTATCTTAGGTTTCTCAATCATGGCCTGTCGTAACCATCGCTGAAATAAAAATTGTTGAAATTTTGTAAAATAGTTCCTCATTAGAAAATGGGAAGAAGATGGAATTATTTTTACATCCCCCTTCCAGATGAAATACATGTTCTTAAATCTTTCAGACTTTCATACTATCAGCATTCAGTTATTCAACAATTTTCAGCCCCTACCTTTTTGGCTGAGCCTATGCTGTTATCTGCATTGACCACTGGACGGAACGTGCCCGAGCTGTGACTATTCCGTCGGAGATGTTCCATGGCATTTCTTGGACTCGGCAGACAGGTAACGAACATCGTGTCTTCCTCAACCTTGACCTCCAGAGGCTCTGTCTTGGCTGGAGATGACGTACCTGCCATACCATCCTGACTCTTCTCATGTAGCCATTCATTCATTAAATGCTGCAAACAACACAAGCATATATCATTTCCTTGCATCTTCTTTGTATTTTTGCAAATAAATATCCAAAGATAACAATCAATATTCACATACATGTACATACTTTATAATGCATGAAGCAAGTATGCTAAATTCTCTTATTCGTATTTGAAATGTATAGTGCATAGTGAGTTAATTACTATTTCCTTGCATCTTCTTTGTATTTTTGCAAATAAATATCCAAAGATAACAATCAATATTCACATACATGTACATACTTTATAATGCATGAAGCAAGTATGCTAAATTCTCTTATTCGTATTTGAAATGTATAGTGCATAGTGAGTTAATTACTAATGACATACCTTTTTGGTCTTGAGAAATCGGAATGATGGCTGCATGTTGACCACATCACCAGTCACTAATGGTGTGTTAGGACAGCTGTTGGTCATGGCAGGGATGTTTGGTTGGGCAGCACTGCTTCCTTCATCAGCAGCATCTACAGACAGTGAGGGCTCTGACACAGCATTTCCACTGCCAGCACGGTTCCTCCTGGGGATAATGAATAGTATCATATATTACATATATATCTTTTTTAATTACCCTGCAAACCTCTTTTTTCTTAGTGACGTTGGAGCATTACTTTAAAAAAATTATCTTCGATTAACTTATCGACTCTTACCTTCTTGAGGACACTCGTTTTGCCTTTCTCCTAAAAAAGACACAACAAAAAAAATTAATTTAAAAATATCAAACAAATAGAAAGCTCCTTCAACATTAATTTAACTGTTACACATTATTATGAGAACTATACATACGTTTTCGGCTTAGGTTTGGTCTCCTTTATAACAGGTGGTTGTTCTTCAGGAACAATCTCTACCACACTTTCCTCCTGTACAGGTTCTGTCTCTACTGTAATCACTGGCTCTTGTGCTGATTCACTTGTATTCTCCTCCTCCTCTTTTTTCCTTGATCTTGTTTCCTTCTGACTGACCTTTTCCTTCTTTTCCTCTTTCTTTGCAGGAGTTTTCTCTGTTTTCTCAGGCTGTTTAAAAAAAAAAAGATCTTATGTCAGAAATTTGTATGAACACTATTACTCAGGAAAATTCATCCTTCTGCTTTTGTTGAACTTTCTTTTCACAATTTTCACTCAAAATTCTATCTAATCTGTATCTCTTCTTTCAATTCCTTGTATAATTACATATCATTGAATGACAGAATGTCATAATTTCAATTCTACCCTATCTAGATATGCATGTATTTCAGAATAAAAGATTGTTATAATTTCATTATACTGTATGTTGTTGAAGAATCAATGAAAAATGAATCACAGGAACCTTATTATTTTTATAGTTACAATTTTTTTTTAACATTACACAAGAAGAAACAAACATACCTTTTCCTCCCGCTTGACATCGACACTTTTCCTGTCTATTCTATGCAGTGCCTGGTTCCTTCTTTCTTCTCGTTTCTCCAGTTTCTCAAAGGCTTTCATAATGGCTTCCATTTTCCTTTCTTCTCTTGTCTAAAATCACACAACAACCAGTATTATTTTCAAGTTTAGTATTAAATTCCACGACTGAAAATCTCAAGGTTTAAGAACAAATCCTTACATTTGTTTTTCTGGCAAATTTAGAATCACTTATTTTGCAACAAATCATGACACTACTGCAAGCTTAATATGATGTAGATGTACATGTATAAACACTATACACAAACTCTTTCATCAGAATGAACTATGCCTGTTACCATTTTATGTTGAGGGATCGCTGGCTCTGAAGATGCTGGGGTGGTGGCAGTTTCACTGGTTTCCTCCTCTTCTTTCTGGAGTGCAGGGTCCAACAGATCCTGACATGTAGAACTGTTGTCTATCTGCTCTGTTGAAGCTGCTCTTGACATCTATAAGTAAAATATCGGACATTTGTAATTTGTAAGTGATTACATTAATCCACACACTTCATTAGTTGAAAGTTTTAATAAATGGATAATTCTAGATTCAACTTTTCAGAAACTTGGGAGAAATTTCATTTTCCTACTGCCGTTGAGAATTTCATAGAGTGCTTACAACTTCTGAAGGTCTGTCAGCAGCTGGGGAGGTTACGTTAGAAGCATTCACTAGGGGAGTTAACTCTTCCCCTGACTTTTTGACTGGGGATTTAATCTGTATTTTGATGGGAGACTTGACAGGGAGTTTTGGCATCTTCTGGGGAGACTTTTCTTTCCTGTTTAATGAAAAACAAAATTGAATTCAGTTTCAGCATTGAAAATGAAGCTCACTTTTGCATGCAAATTTTTCTCATTTTGTACACTCGATATCAACACAATACATTTTTCTCCTCTATAAAGTTTCTTACTTGATATTATTAATTCTTTTCTTGAAGAACTTGGCAACAGGGCAATTATTTCTCAAGCAGGCACACTCTACACAGTAGGTACTACAATAATTAAAGAATCAAGATTGTGCATTACATCATTTCACTCCACAGAGCACCTTTCCCATTTAAACTAAAAGTAAATGTAGCAATAAACTTGTTTTATCTTACCAGTCTTTGTAACTGTAGTCATATGGGATGGTAATTTCTGACCCCCTTGGAATCACCTTGGTTGAATATATGTAGAAATTCACATGGCCATTCTGAGAAACATGCCTCACCTACAACAATGAAAAGTCCCTGTGCACTGCTTGTTGTCAAGAGAGATACCTTTCATCTTGTATACAGAAAACAATTATGTTTGTATATTTTGTAATAATAACTATATTACCTCTGCATTAGCTTTACATGATCGCCTAATGAAGCGAGCGATGTTCCCGTATGAAGTCGCATCTATGCAGATGTCCATCCCATCATAATTCGAGTAAAACAAAACAAATGGATTTAATCTGAAACAAAGATATCACAGGTCAATGTCAACTTTCCAACCGAGTAGGGATGATAAATATTAGGACCAATTTGCTCCCAGTTTTATGTCAGTTGAGGTGTCCCTTTCTCCTTTAAATAAATGTACTAGTCAACATTACACAACTTAATGACTTATCCAATGTGTTCTATATCACTTATCATTTATAGAAGTCATCTTTATTAAGCTGGTCTCGGTACATAACTTGTCTGATGTGTTCTATGTGACTTACCGTTTATAGAAGTTATCTTTATTAAACTGGTCTCTGTACATGACTTGTCCGATATATTCTATGACAGGCTCTCCCTCCCCTATTGTTTCTGTAGCTTCCAATCCCTACAGAGGAAAACAACAGGAAAACTATAAACCTCAAAACATACATCAATGACTGATTAAATTCTAAAATCTTTACAGATTGAACTTTCTAGTTGTATCTATATATAGTATACAGATTTAAACATACCTTGCGATTCTTGTTGACCTCTGTAACGTGACACAACTGAACCCGCAGTTTGCCACCCACTCCATTCCCGTTATTATCAGGAGGCTTCAAAAGACAAACCAAAACTTGATGTTAAAATACTTTGCATTTTATTTGAGTAGAAACTTTCCTTTAGAAATTGCACCTTTACAAAGTTCTATTTAAAGAGAGTGATTCCATTCTTAATGTAAATCATAAGTTACTTACATAAACACCATTGATTTTCTCAGCCAAGAACGAATTGAGAATGTCTTGGGAGTACAAGTTCTCATAAACCTCTTCATACTTGTCCACCCAGGGGCTGAAATAACAAACAACAAATTTTAACAACAAAAAAACTTCCCTATGCAATAGGAAATGCCTGGCCTTATCTTAATGCCCACAAGTGTGTATTGTGAAGACACTTCAATTGTAGTTAGATAATAATCCTTCACTTCAGCTCAAGGTCAATTATGAAGAGATTACACTTAGAGTAGATACAAGATTATCTAAGTACAGATGAGATAACTTAAAAGTATGGGATGATCATCATTTTCCTGTATAATTAGTTTAGACTTGGAGTTCTGGAAATACCAACAAGACTTTATAATTAACGAGGTTCGCTCCTGAGCTTTTGAGCAGATTTTTATCTTAACCTATATTTCAAAAATTCTGCATAATGTTTTAATTCTTACAATAAATTTGGATTCTACAATGCCAATTTAACTATATTCAGTTAAAACTCCATGATTAAATTGCATACCAAAAGCATTAAGTGAGGAACTATATTTTGTGGCGGAAGGTTTTCTTAGAAGAAAATGATCATTTTTTCTCTTTCGAAGTATTCAAAGTATGTTAAGTTTGGATTCCTATTTTTACACGCAGTCTGCACACATAGTTATTTTGTGCAGTGGACTGTTTTATACTGGTCCTAAATTATCTATTAAATATACTGTCATGAATTCTATCATCATATTTGATAAATATAGCAAATATTTTGTGAAAATGAAGGAAAAAAATAGCCCTAATTTAAGCTTAAAATTAGCACTATTTTAGTTATATCTAAAAATTAACATCACAGACCCTCACTTTTAATTTTCTTTTCTGAATATATACGATACATTTAACCATTCTTCTTAAATTCAGTAAAATGTCATTACTTTCAAATGATTTTTTTGCTTGTTAAATTTTTAATGCCAGATAAATGAAAATGTTTTGCAAAAAGGTCAAATAATTGAACATGCGGAGTAATTTGAAAATTTCTTCGTTGTCACAAATTTTAATGTGTCTATTTCAGATGAAATAAGACTGTTTTTGTTCCTATAATTTATTTGAACAAAAAATATTGGAGGAAAAACTTTAAAATTTGATTTATGTGTAAGACGTATTTACAGTGCAAAAAGGTCAAACTAAATGATCTGTAGCGCCAAAAGAAGCGCATTGAACCCCATTTTTTGTTTTGATTTTTAATGAAGCTGTGTGTATAAATTCTAAAAATATACTTGATAAAAAATTCTCATTACTTTTGATGGCAGGATCCAACCTCCTTAATCACATATAAAGATGCTCTAATATCACTTAAGGCACTGCCATAACATAAAGATAAAAATATCTTCATTGAAAAATCTTCAAATGTATAATCACAGTAATAACAGAATTATAATACAACTTCTTCTTGTGACATATATGTTGTAAATGTTCATTACACAGATAGTATTGATTGTCCTACCTATATGAGCTGTCCCAAGGATCCTGCTGAGTGTTCTCATTAATAACTAATGACAATCCAGGCTTTTTGTTCTTCTCAAGCTAAAATAAAATAATACTGGTGATATAGTACTACCAGAACATATTCTCTCATGCTTTAATAATGAAACAAAAGTCAACAAAACCCTTATTTACCTTCAGTCTCTTTGTCTTTACACCTGCAGGTGTGTCTTTATTTAAAACCTGAAAATTATATCAGTGTTTTTTTTAATGAACTTGGAGTCTCTCAATTAGTATTTATTTGATGTCCTTCAAAAGCAAAAGTACATTAAGTATGTTTTCCAGGGATAATTGTTTTTAAAAATGTTGATATTCACTATATACATTAAGTATGTTTTCCAGGGATAATTGTTTTTAAAAACATTGATATTCACTATATACATTAAGTATGTTTCCAGGGATAATTATTTTTTTAAAACATGTTGACATATACTATACACTTTGTCTAATATGAACAGCCACATTTCTAAAATGTCTTACTCTTTGATATTTCTTGTTAGCATCTTTGTTTTCCTTCTCCTTCTTAACGTCTCGTTTCTCTTTTTTGCTGCTTCTGCGTTGTTTAACATCAGATGCCTTGCTGCCATTGTTTGAGTTGTTGTTGCCTGACTTGTTGCGTTGTTTTTTAGTTTTGAGTTTTTTGGCCCCTGACAGATCTATCCCACCTTGCTGTTGCTGTGACAACTGTCTGTTAGCCTCCTCCTCAGGATCTGTGTCTGTGGCACTTGAATCTACCAATTAAAACACGATACATAGTAAACTCGGACAGCACTCCTGTCTACCAGTCTTAATACTTATTACACAAGTAACTTGACGAATATTAAAAGTTAGGAGGAACAAGTGAAGTACTGTACATTGTATGTTACCATCTTCCACGTATCCTTAATCATAATAATGCCATGAAATGATATTTAAGGTTCATCTACCTTCTGATAAGAGAAATAACTCTTACTGGGATACAGACTATTAGTTTTTATAAAATTGTCAGGTAAAAAGGAAAATGGTCATTTCTGTATAATTTTGTCCCACAAGTTATGCTGAAATTGTGTGCATTTTAATCTGTTGGAAAATCATTAGTGTTGGAGAGAAATTTTATATAAGTGCACATAAGGACAATCAACCTTAACCTGAATTATCACATAAAACCATGTATGGCATTACTTACCTGTCAGGGTATCCAAAAACTCTTTCTTCTTGAGCTGAATGAGCCGTGCTTTCTCTCGGTCCAGTGGGCGGGGCTCACAGAGTTCACAGAAGTAAGAGTCCGGAATATTGTTCCTGTCTACCCCCATACAATCAATATGCTGCCACACACTGCAACAGAGAAGCTTTATAAATTAAATTCTATTTATAAAATATAAATGTGAGTCATTCTTGGTACATAGCTGTTTTGATAGTCCAAGAAGGATTTCATGTGATGTATTTACACAACACAGAGGAAACTGTATTTGCAAACCACAGATCCAAAATAGTTTTTTTTTATTCACTGTTCACAATAATTTCCCTGTTAGCTCTTTATGGTACAATGAAATGTGAAGTAGTGTTGAGTACCAGTTCTCTTTCAAAACAATTTTCCTCTGATACAATACTAACAACTTCCAATATTGTGATCTAAAGTAAAACTTGGTTATGAGGAAGTGACTGGGACTTTAAATTTTGAATCCTTATAAACAAAATTCTATATATCCATATAAGGAAAATAGTGTGAAGTCTTCCATGGGGTTCATAGAAGTTTCCTTATAACCAAGATTCCCTTATATGCAAGTCCTGTACTTGATTACCTAGCTTTATTGTATTTATGTAATTTTAAAACAGTTGAACTTCGGTATCTGCAACTAGGGCTGTGTATTGAGCAAAATATTTCGATACGATACGATATTTTATAAAGCGATATGCGATATATTGGATTATTTATTAAGTCTTTCAAAAATGTCTTGTAAATGACATTTAATGCATAAATTTGAAAAAAAATTGGGTTAATTTAACATAACATGTTAAAATATAGTTGTCTATGTGTTTTGTAATAGTTATTTAAGATGTGCTATCTCCTTAATGTTTACTTCATTATTGACCAGTTTTAATTCAAAACAGTTAAAACTAATCTTTGGTAACTGAAATTCCCAACTTTTTTACAGAATTATAAGGAAAACTGCCTGTCCGATGTGTATTGGAAGTTATTTTTTCGATACGATACATTCCTGAATATCGATATATTATTGATACAGCCCTATCTGCAACACTGATATCTTGAAAACCATGATATGCTGAAGTGATTTGGAAGTCCCGACCACTTTTTCTTTTAAGTATTTTACCCTTAATATCTCGAATCTTTGGCTATTTCGAAGTTTTTTCCTCGGTTCTATTGGGTTCAAGATAACGAGGTTTAACTGTACATTTATTTTGTACTATCTATTTTCCACTTCTTGTCTCATAAGAGGAATGTAATCTATTCCATATCTAGGTTTCTGACATGTCCTACATTTAAAACTGTTATTAATATCTTTATCTTTTTATTTCCACAAGGAAATCTAACACAATCTTTTTTTCTTACCTGCACTTATCGCAGCAGATCATGTACCCATCATCGTGTATAAAGTCACAGATACACCGCGTAACACTGTCATCTTCTCCCTCCTTGGGAGGTACCATCTCTGGTGGGGTGATGGGGAGCCCTGCACTGCTACCCACATCCTCCACCTCTATGTGGCCTTTATCTGGGGTGAGTGGAGCCAGGGGTGGCATCAGCATCTGCTGTGGGGGTTGGGGTGGTGAGGGTGGAGGTGTAGGAGGGCGGGGGGCTCCGTAATTGTGGTCCTGTAATACAATGTTAGTGTAATTACTACTTCAGGTCTAGCTGTGAGTATATGTCTTTTGAAGTTAAAACTAAAGAAGGCCTAAAAGAGAAGGAATTTGAATGGAAGTCTAATTCAACTCCTTTCACAGTTTAATCATTAAACTGGTTGTATTACCATCAATACCTATATAGAATGTTCCAGAGCTTCATAAGATAGTTAAGACCAGTGTTAATTAACTAATTAGGATATCATCAGAGAAAATAGGACCACAACCATGATGCAGCATTGAATATCTCATTAATGGGTTTACAATGCATGCTTCTGTTGCGATCAACAACTTCTTTTTAAAGAATAATTGAAAGTATGAATTAGCAATACAATTAATAGTATGTCAACAGAGAATTTAATAACTGACAAAACATTAACGCTCTATTCATTACAATTTTACAATAAGAACTCGAGGCGCCTACAAATGCTCATGAAACCCTTTTCATGGATCCATTTTCTAAGTTAACAATATTATACTGTCCAATTGTGTTCTTAATGTAATTAAATCAATATTTTATTCACATTTTTAACAAAAAAAGGCAGGAAGGTTTTAAAATTTTGTGCTTGGTATTAAACCTCCATCACAAATGGTTTTAAGTCTCTACCTTTAGTAAAAGATAATGTACCACACACTTCAATAGTTTCCCTCACATTGTTAAACACATCTTATTTCCTTCTATCAAGATTGTATAACCTGACAACAAACCCAATAGACAGTAATGACAAAAAAGGACACAAAATCCACACAGAAAATAAGGAAGCTCTCCGGCCTGTTGTCATGGTTAATGAATAAAATCAATTTGGGACCTGACAAAAGGAATTACGAGACTAAACACTTTCAAACTAACCAACCATGAGATGTTTTTGTTTGGAATAGATTTTTTTTCAGTTTTCAAAAGAAAGCATTGAACCCAGGAATTATTTCTGAAATACTTAAAAGTTCTACTGCCAAGGGGCATGTCTATTTTCACTTTTATATTTTGTCACCAAATTGATACACCAACAATCAAAGTAAGTAACCCTTGATTTTAAACATAAATATTCAACAGATAACACTGAAATTTTTGAAGAGGAAAAATATTTTATGGCTTTCAACATGTTCAAGAAATCAAGTCCAAGTGAATCAAGGCAAAACTACTGGCTTACCTTCTTTACAGAAACTTGTATTTCCACACAAACAATTTCCAACTCCTTGGTTAAAATTTAAAAAGCTTATAAGAAATCCATACTTGTGTATACAAAGAGAGCTGGCTTGTTGAACTAATTCCCTCAGCCAGAACGTATTTAGACGGTTAAAACTCCAAGCATTGTCCTAATTTAATCTTCCAATTACTAGCTTGTAGGATCATGTTTTTCGCAGGCATTGTCCAGAGTGAAAAAAACTTAAACAATGCCTAGCATTTACACCACAATACCTGATTAACACAACTCACAGGACTCTTTTACTGGCTATAATTAGTCCAGCCTTTAATCATATATCAAGGTCTAACTTGTATCCAGGTTCTATCTACTGGTAGATATCAATACCCGACTACTTCTTCTATCTCACTCACATGTACTGTGTATACATCTCCTTATGTGTAGTACTTATTTGGGGCCCTGAAGACAGGTGTTAACACGTGTAGGTGTTTCACATGAGAAAGGTGTTAATTGCTGTTTTTGATATACCTACATTTAACAGATCACCTGACAAATATGTTATAAACAGAGACCAAGGTAATACTGCATACTATTTTTCTGAGATGGAAAATGTGGAATAATTTAAATCTTAAGTTACCGTTAAGCATAGAACTAACAAGAGTCACAGAATGTGAACATTTATATATAACAAATATATGTCTTTTGTTTTGGAATCCATATGTAGGTATGTATTGTAAAAAAAATTCTCTGTCAAAATGACGCATCAGGGCAATTGCTGGAGATTAAGAAACAATGGAACTAATTGCGATCATAAATTGATTAATTAATTAAGGCTCACCTGGTATGGCAGTCCGAAGCAGCCCGGATAAGATTGAGGAGCTGGCTGATTATGTTCCTGTCCGTAAAGTCCTGAACCTCCCTCATCTCTGTAAATATAACCACAGCATTAACAAGGAATAATACACAGGATACACTGAGTCACACACGTTTGCTATGCTGTTTAATACATGCAGTTTTCCTTGTGCTAAGAGTTTGAAATTAAAATTTTGCAACAGAAAATAAAGCTGATCTAGAGATTCTAGAGATTCAAATTCATGGACAATCATATTTGCTCCAATGCCATTTTAAGCACCTCTAAAAAATAAGTACCCCTGTCCATTGTTTATAGCTGAAGGCATGTGCTACCCCCCCCCCCCCCCCCCCCCCAACTTCTTCTAGTGCTATGATAAATGTGCATGAAACAAAATGAAAGTAGTTTTTTCCCCCTATACATTCAAAATCTGATTATGGAAAGAAAAAATGTGTATTTGTTTTAATCAATACTAAGTAAATGTAAATAAAAACTAAATGTAGGTACAGATTAACATTACACGTGTGATTAAACCTCGGCTTTTGTATGACTTACATGTACTTAATCTCCAAGCATTAGTTGACAGTGTTTGTTATTACTCAACTTGAGTTATATAACTATATATAAATTAACACAGTAATAATCATACTTTCTCTGTTTTCATAACTTTACCTATATATAGCAGAACAGTTACATAGGTTTGTTAAATTGTAAGGGGAACAATTCTGTACACTGTTTAACATATTCTAAAATTTCACACCCCTTCTCCTTCATATGGCATATCATATAATTTATAAGGTAATATTATAAGTATAATATAAAAGTTGGATCTTCCAAGTCAAACACCATTTCAATTTTTCAAACACAATCTACATTCACATAGGGGAAATTTAGAAACATTATTTATAAAATTTACACTATGAACAGTGATATAAGTCTAGTTTGTTCAGTTGTGAATAAAGAGATATTTCAGTGGGCTGTTGTATCAATCAAGCTAAACACCTGAAATCAAACTAAAACCAAGCAATAACACTTCCTATTTGAATACCATCTAATTACACACTAACCGAAACAAATTAAAATACAGGATTTGTTTGTGGTTTGAAAGTTTTAGTCACTCAAAGAGGTGTGGCATGAAGAAATGTATTGTTAAACCAACTTACAATTCTTGTACATCAATTCCATCACAAAGATAAACGTCCTTTCAGTTTAATCCTAATACAAAAACGTATCTCCTGTTCACCAATTTTCTCTCGATTACAAAACTTTGCAGAGAAATATAATCTCCACTAAAAACTTGCAGCATGAAAATTGACAATAGGCTGAAATACACTGTTACACTGTAGTCTGTAAGTTAAGGAAGGAAGAGGACAATTTGGTTACACGGAATAGGACACAATCCCGTATGTGACCTATATCACAATTACATCCTCTCACATGACTCCAACATTTAATCACTCCATGTTAAATTAGAGAAATTCCTAACATATCTCTTATTTACATTAGACTCAAAATCTATGGGGTGTTTTCATTTAGGATATGGGATCAGGTCTGTACGTACTATGAAATGCAGTCTGCATACCATAAGGAATAACACTGGAAAAGATCTAGGAATTTCACATGAACATAGAAAAGCTTTTGTACATATAGCCACCTGTGATGCAAAGATAATTTTTCAGTCTTGCCCTGAGACATATCAATGCAGGGAGTCTAAATAATTTAGCTTCATCAAATGCACCTATAGATAACACCAGAAGGGATGTAACTCTAGCTAAGGCAACTTGTGCCAAGTTGTTGCAGCAGTGATAATCATTAATAGGCCAGGTACTTATCTCCTACATGTGAATCAGGCAGCTCACACCTTGCCTCCCTGATTTATCATGTTAATTACCCTCACCAATTTTTCCTTAACTACTGATTATGCATGATTGTTAGACATGCACTTCTATCATTGCAGGTGGCAGCTTTTGATGCAAGCCTGTAGAACTCCAAGAGCACAACCAATCAGCCTATATCATCCCCCTCCACTTTTCCCCTCTGAAACATTCAGCTATTACCTAAATTCAGTTTTACTTTCTTCATAACTATTATTTTTCATCAATATTTCAATGATGAAACTGTATAATGAATTTCAAAAAAACAAAACATTATTCATGGGTATGTTTCTTAACACAAATATAAATTTGATATCTGAATGGTCATGGTTGTATTCCATTTTCAGTGCTCCAAGTCAAACTTACTATCAGCTAGCTAAATGGCTTATCAATTTTTTTTGGTGGCCATTTCAGAATTTCTGGTTGCCAACATATATTTCACTCGCTATGGTGTAAACATTTTGTGAATAACACACTTGGTATATTATAAAAGCAAGGAGCAAACACTCATATATGTACATGTATATTGTCTTTTTTAAGTTAAAGATTACTTATTACTGTGACTAAACAATTTGCTAGTCTGAAGAAACCATGTAATTTTAGTCTTTGCGACGCTTTACAAAGTTTTGAAATTGTCTTCAAACATCTTCTTGATAGATAATGTTGGGAAAAAGTAATCTCGATCCCAGTCATAAAAATGGACAATTTCCGGCCCAAATTTTCTCGGTTGCAAAAATGGAAGTTGGTTTTAATTTCTGGATGCAAAATCAATTTTTTGGTCGAAAATGTTACCATTTTAGTCACAACTCAGAGCACTGATTTTCATTGTCACAATACATTTAATGAAACTGAAAGTAAAACTCAAGGTATTAGGATTTTGCATTTTTTGTTAAAACAGAAGTGAAAATTTTTATAGGAACCCAATTACTTGTTAAAATAATACGAGGCAATTTCATTCATTTTACTCAGAGAACTATTTTTTATGATTCAGCTTGTCCAGTACTTACTCCTGTTGGCCGGGATCTTTCCCGACCTCTCTTTGTCCTACATCTTGGACAAATCCTGTCCTTGACATGTAATGGCTCATCATGATGTCGGTAAGTCCATCACATTGATGGAGGACCCACAGCTTTCTGTTGTCTTCATCGAGGCCATAACTGCTTTGTTCAACACCTGAAATAGAACACCAAAATACCACACTTTACATATTTCAAAAATATAACTGGGTCAACAATTTGCAATGACAGGTCATGATTTCTTTCTTCAAATTTGATGTATGATATACTTTTCTTCATAATGTTCTTGTAATAAAACAAACAGTGAAGTACATGTAAATAGAACCTCCCAAAGTTGCTTCAAATATCAAATATTCTGTTGGGAGCAAACTATTACTGTAACTACTACACATACAATTAGTTACCGGTATACCATAAACCATTATTTGAAGTTTTCCCCCTTTCACATGTTCAGTTCCATTATTCCAACTTATATGCAATGATTTTTTTCACAACCCCCAACCCACCAAACAATAAGTTTACAATCTTTTTTTTTTTTATTTACCATTTTACATTTTTTAATTTCTGCATTCTTGATGAATCATACACCATATCAATGTGTCAAACTTGTGCATAAATAATTGATTTTACATCTTTTTGCTTTTAATTAGCTTTACTTACTTCAGTATAATATATAGTCTCAAATTTGATAATTTTTTTTATGTGCACTGTTGAGTAAATATTCCACAACTTTGTCACATGTATCCAGGATTTTTCATCATGTTAAATATGAGTCAGAAGTTAACTATAGTAAAAAGAACCTTTTTCCTTATTTATTTTATTGTCAAGTGCCAATAAAATGTGTATTTCAAGTTTTACAACACACCTATATGATCTTGATTAATTTGTTTCATTACAAACCCCTTATCAACATAGAGATGGACAAGCATGCTAGAGTTGTGGTTCTTTGTTTACCATTTTCTTTACCAGTTTACTGTGCCTCAACAAATACACAATGGAAACAATCTGCAAGCAGGGCTTAACTGAGCCTCTTTGATACAGGATTGTATGATCCTTTACCCATTCAATGGGGAATTTTTTTTCATTAAAATGTTAAAAAATTTGAAAATATTGATGACACATTTTACTGAAGAAATAAAAACAGTTAGGCTTAGGGTATATCCTCTGTTCACAACATATCAACCATTATAATCTCAAAATTCAACCTTTTTTAATAAACAGCACAGAAAAATTCAATCTGCCTGTAAATTGGGAATCTTTACTTTAATTGTTAGGAGAAAAAAATTATTTTAAATTTGGACAAGGTCCTTTTATTGGACCTGCATGCAGCAGATATAAAGCCTTGGCAAGTCATAATTGTAAAATTTCCATATGAAAATTTAGCACAAATAGTTAAATGCTAATACTTCGATTAAAGCTAAAAAATCTGTCTGCCTACATAAATTAGCACATTTTCTCTGATGGTTTACTCCAGATAACACAAATCTGACATGCAATAAGGCAGTATTTTGGATAACCAGTAGATGCAATGCATGCATTTGGTATTATACCCTTACCTTGGAAAATAAGTACATGTATGTATATCAACTGAAACAATAGGCCCATGGGCCATAATGCTCACCTCATTCAGTAGGGCCCTGCTGATTTTTTTTTCTTTATATATTCCCATGTAAAACTTTGATCACATACTGTGGCCCCTCCCTATCCTGCGGGTTGACGATTTAAACAAACTTGAATCTAAATTTCTCAAGAATGCTTCATATCGACTGATCATGGATTTGCAATTCTTGAGAAGACTTTTTAAAGATTTTCCTATATATTCCAATGTAAAACTTTATTGTCCATTGTGGCTCCACCCTACCCTCTGGGGCTATGATTAAAAAAAAAAGAAAAGAAAACTTGAATCCACACTATCTGCGGATGCTTCCATATAAATATGACCAAATATTCTTCCATATAAATATGGCTAATCATGGCTTTGCTGTTCTTGAGAAGATATTTAAAGATTTTTCCTATATAAAGTTGTATGTAAAATTTTGATCCCCTAGTGTGGCCTCACCCTTTCTTATATAAAGTCATACATAAAATTTTGATCCCCTAGTGTGGCCTCACCCTACCACAAGGGGTCATGACTTGAACAAACTTGAATCTACACTACCTGTGGATGCTTCCATATCAGTATGACAAAAAATGGCTTTGCTGTTCCTGAGCAGTAAATATTTAAAGATTTTTTCCTATATATTCTTATAAAGAACTTTGATCCCCAGTTGTGGCTCCACCCTATCCGGGCCACAGGACTTGATTTGAACAAACTTGAATCTACACAATGTATTGTAATGGAAATTTCATCTTTTCTGGCCCATTGGTTCTTAAGAAAATGATTTTTAAAAGATGCCATCAACATGATCAAAATGTGGCTCTTCAGTTGAACAAACATGAGTCCTCTTTACTCAATGATACTTTGACAAGTGGCAAGTTTGATTGAAATTGGCCTTTTGGTTTGAAGAAGAAGTCAAAAATGTGAAAAGTTTACAAACAACACACAACAGATGGACAGGAGACCAGACACTTTTCGATCAGAGAAGCTCACCTGAGCTTTAAGCCTAGGTGAGCTAATTAAGAAATAAATAACAAGTTTAAAAACTTCTCTGGGGAATGAAGTGGGTCAGTCATGTGATCAAATCCTGTGAAGGCCGAAGGCCTTCTCAGAAGACTTGATCACGTACCGACCCAATTCATTTCCCAGTGAAGTTTTTTAAACTTGCTATTTATTACTTATATATACATTTGAGACGGGCAATCGAATATAATCGAATATAAATATTGCACTAACTGTTCTTCGTAGATTTTGACAAATTACGCAAGGTGTAAATCGGCTTGAAAAGCGGTTACGCTTCAAATTCATCTGGCAAAGGATTCTGTTTTGAAGGTAATATTCTGTGAAAGGCTACTTGTGTTCAATTATAGTGAGCAAATTGGTGTCTGGGAATTTTTGTATTCGTGAGAACCCATATTCTATGTTTTAAAAAACACACAAGAAACACGTCCCATGTTTGATAATAAAAATTTGGACGAATTTCGGTCGGAAAGGGATGGATGGAGACACTTGTCCGGACCAGTTAACTTGGAATCAAGTTTAAAATTTGATCAGAAAAATAAAACCTACGATTTCAATAAGGCATATTTATTATGATGTTGACACAGAGACACGGAAACAGCTTACATTGTTAAGACAATGATCTCGATGGTGGAGGTGTGCATACTGAACTTCCGAAGTGCAGTGTTTGTCAGCTGTTTTTGGCGTGATTGCATTACATTGATATTTTCCAACAGATTTTCAAATTTATTGTGAGTAAAGTTTAATGAAAAAAAAACCCATAACATTCAGAGGTCTACAAGAAAAATAAGGGTAAACGTTGAGACTATGCAGCTCAGACATGAAATTTATAACATGTAGTTTTCTATTCTCTATGTAAAATCGATCAAGAACTGTATAAATTACTCGTTTACATTGTAAATAAAATGATTATCATTTTACTTAGGTATTTTGTACATTTTTATGCATGAAAAACATGCTATATTGCTAAGTAGAGTAAGTCTCTTTATGTAGATATTACTGCGCTGTGCGATTAGGTCACGTAATGACCTATGACCTTCGAAAATATTCATACAGGTATGAAGATATTTGCTCTCTGTATGTTTATATAATAGAGAGATACCACAAATGTATATATTAAAAAAGTATTTTGCACATTTTTATATTCACATGGTTATCATTTTGATCGTACTCATTTCATTAGTATCAATATGGCTTCACAGGTGGGCATAAATTAGTGATGGGAAAATGGGATTTTTTTCATAATCAATTATCGGAATAATCGGATGCACTATAATCGATTAAAAATCGATCAATTTCAAATATTAAATTTGTTCATTTTTGAATGAAGAATAAATTGGTAAGAAATTCTGGAGTGATATCCAAAATACATTTTTGAAATATTTTGTATCATTGGGTTCATTTACTTCAGATCATTATTTAGGATTTAGTCAAATTCAAAGAAGAATGAATCAAAAAATCAAAGGAATAATTTGCTTTTAACTAATATTTTGAGTAATCGATTATCAAAATTATAATCGATTGTCTATAATCAGGGACTATTTCGATTAGATAATCAATTTAATTGATTAATCGATACATCACTAGCATAAATATACTCCAATTAGATGTGAAAAACTCTTTCTTAAGACATTTTACAGTGCATAAAACAATGAGCCATGTCTGCTACAGAATTCAGGTATGTACCATACATTTAAAGTAGCACTGGTCTTTCATGACAGTGAAACTTGTGCATCATTCTTGTGTAGAACTCTGCATGAATTCATTTGCAGTGCTCTACATGTATTATATTCTTAGATTTGATAATTGTTTTCAAGGGAGTTCTTGAAAAAAGATTATGTTATATATATATATATATATATATATATATATATATATATATATATATATATATATATATATATATATATATATATATATATATATATGTATATATATAAACCAGCCAAACTTCACAAGTATCAGAAAATTTCAAAATATTCAACAGAATTTTCAAGGAATAAGAATGTATGGTGAATAGTATATGAATTGCACATATTTTTCTGATAAAAATTCAAAAGGATCAGACAAAAGCTCCATAACTCAGACCTAAAGTCTTCTCCTTGTACAAAATTTTTCAAATCTGCCAGCAAATACATTAGTAGTGTCAAAGACTAAAATTTAATCATTGATATGCAAAATATATAATTCTTCATAAAAACTTTTTTTATAATTTAAAAAAATTAAATAACTGAAAAAAGGCATAAATTTTCAGAAAAAGAAAGAAACCAGCATCAAATGCACATCTGTAATGTACAAATTATTGAATGATAGATACCGAGCAGCTAACATCTGCAAAATGATAAAAAAATTTTTTTTTAATAAATCCTTCTTTGTAAAGGCAATATTGCACTCCTTATTCACCAATAACACTAAGATCACTTGGCTGCAATGAATATTAAAAAAAAGCATGAAAAAACTTTTTATGAAGTAAGATTTTCATTCAGAATGTTGGCACTAGAGGGTTCATTGACAATGTCTATTTGTTGGAGAAATCAATATTCCTACATTTTCTTTTTTTCCCACAGAGCAAAAGTAAGTCATTGAAAAAGGTGATAAAAATTTTCTTAAAATACATCAAAATACCAGGCAGCAACTGCCAGCAAGTATTACTATCAAGAATATTAAAATTACGAAATGGCAGGGAAAAAAAGGCATTTTTATCATATGTAATAAAAATTAATGATACATGCATACAGATCTTTTTTTTTAAAGAATTCATTCTAAGGGTTAAAATTCTCATTCCAAAAATGAGGAAAGTCGAAGTCAGAAAGAACTCCAAAAATGAGGAAAGTCCATGTGAGATACAACTCTTTTACAATTTTTATGATCAATTCCAGTTATATCAATTGTAAAAAATAACTGATAACCTAATATATGTTTATGTAATAATGCATTTTAATTGTTTGAAAAATTTTCATTTAGCAATTAACAAAAGAGAAATAACTCCTGCATGAGATACTTTTCCCAGTATTACTTGCTTTTCAGCGTGTAATCTAAAAACGTATCATGTTAAAATAATATCTATACTGAAACATGGCTTTTTCTCCACTGGCTATGGAGATATGTAGATGATCAACCCGATTCTAATTTGCACAGACATGTTTGTCATGCCTTCTGCATTGATAAATTATTTGTCATGGCATCAATTACGAAAAATAAAAATAGGTCATTTTTTTTTCTAATCATAGCCACAATGTGGAAACACACATTACAAATGCGTGAATTAATTGTTCTGAGCTTTTACTTAGGTGCTACTAAATAATTTTTAACCAAATTAAATGATGTCCGCCATTTTTCCAATTAGCATACATCATAATATGATGAAATTCTAAAAACAGTCTTCAATGACATACTCACTTGCTTCTTACAATAAAATCTCTAAATTCATTAGATTCACTGCACAACACAGCGCCTTTTAAAGTGTCAACCACATTAACTTCCAGAAACTTGAACGTCAAACAAAATCTCAATCAGTTGTTTACAACAGAATTATGCATTTATATTTCTAAAAATATGCTGTATACTCCTTAAAAACACTTAATTTGAAAAGATTAAACACTAAACATTGTTTTAAAATCCATGTCATGACGTGAATGGGTATGACACCAGAGAATATATACCTGTTTTAATTTTCAATCGGCGATTCTACTATCCATTGGCAGCCATTAAAATTGTTATGCTACGGGGTTGATATTTGTGCTCCGTGGAGTCCTCATATCCGGTGACGTTAAAATCTGAAAACATATATTATAATTTTAATTTAGGAATCGAATCAAACAGTGGAAATAAATGTATTTTAATAAATATTCTTTTAGAAGAAAAATTAAAGACATCTAAAGAAAATTGTATCTTCAAAAAGACTCGATACGGAAAATAATTCTTCAGTGAAAGTTACTTTCGGATAAAATTGATTTTTTTTAATTTCAGATGCTTCCATATAAAGGCTATCCTAGCTGCAGATCTGTAGCTCGCTGATCAAAAAAAAAAATGTTATGGACGACCAGGTCATATGGTTGTCCATCCCATTCTTTTTAGACCAGCTAGCTACAGATCTGCAGCTATGGTCGCTAACCATGACTTTACTGAGATTTCTATAAAAAAAAATTTCCTTCAGCATCTGTTAAACATTTTGCAACAAAATCTGAAAATTTCTAGAAATGCTCCTCGCTTAAATTTTAAGCATTTATTGTTTAATATTTACATTCCACATTTATTTTTCAAAAAGTTAAAAGTAAGCATTTTATTTATACGTCACAAACATTAAACGCTGTGCAATTAAATGCAACGTCGTAAGCGAAAATTAAAATTCACGCTCACATTGAACAGAAACTGTTGCAATGGCTATTCCATTAATTTTAACTTCGGATTTTGAAATATAAATCACATAATTTGTAGTCAAGACAAGGAGTTAAAAAATGTAATTATAAGTTGAATCGTTATTTGTTGAAAGATGTAGTCTCATAACTGCAACGATGTGAGCAAACAAATTTTCATAACACGCTAACGTGCGTTACTTAATTTGTTTGCACACACCGTTGCAGTTTTCAATAAAAATAATGATTCAATGCTTAAATATGGTGATATTTTTGTGCTCGCCAGGTCATTTATTTCGAATTATTTGATAGGAAGCTATTTTTCATTTCCTTGATTCCAGTTCATATTTCAAGGGTCGTTACTCGTATTATTATTATAGCTGCTGAGCTTAATGCGTCTAAAAAAAAAGAAAAGAAAAGAAAACAAAAAACAGAGGTCTCTGATGAGATAGTAGCTCTAATGAATGATTTCTAGTAGTGAAAGAGAAACAGATTTATATTTTTGTTTGTCGACTGTTTAAAATTTACGTAATTATCTATCTTGATGGTATTTAACCAATGTATTAAACATCAAACCAAATTCAAGTCGTAGGAGGAGTATGACTTTAAAAGAATATAACAGAATATCCTATTTTTAGTTAATTTATCTTTACATTACCAGGGCTCTCACACCACTTTTTGGGACTGGGACCGGGGCCGTAAAAATTGGGAAAATTAGCGACCTTTTGGGTAATTTTGGGAAAATCATAACTAGACATTATGCATTAAATTCATGATATATTGAGTTTCTGGTGGTTGTTATCAACTAAATTTCTGTTTTGTATTGCAGAGAAATATGAATTACAAGTTTAGTAACCATATATCTTACTAAATGTTCTTTAATATTTGGGGAAGTGACAGATTGGGAAAATTAACACATTCAATTGGGAAAAAAGATGCTTTTTTTGAATTGGGAATGGAGCCTTTGAACGGCCCCACATATAGAGAATCGAGAGCCCTGATTACGGTTCGAATATCACAATAATTATAATAATATTATAAAATTACATGTATGTGTTTTAAATTTGTATACGAGTAACAAATTTATTCGAATTGTACCAAAATTAAAGGAAGAGTAGAATTTAGTAAATTTCATTTTTTTTTTTAATTTTAAAGAAATATATAAAGATTGATAAATTTTGATAAAGTCTGCACGTACCAAGTTTTGTTGAAATAGGACCAAAACTGAAGGAGGAGTAGCACTTTGAAAGATTTTCACAGAAATTTCAATTTTTTAGTAATCATGGCTATGCTATATCGCTTTACTTTCTTGGAAGTCCAGCTCACCTCTGACAACGTTAAATTTACGATTCCTAGGGTATGCTAGATTATTAATTTATTCTGTTTTAACGATTTTCTTCCTAGATATCAGTCGTCTCCATTCTGTCATGTTATAAGTTTTGTATTTACTGTACATTCAAAATTTACTACGTAAACATGAAGATTCCTTCCATGGTTTCTTTGCTTTGCTTGAAAGTTCCCACATAACCATGATAAATATGATTTATTTAATTTTGCCCTGAATGGTTTAAGAAAATTTAAATGAACTATCCATTTACTAATGTTTAATTCAACAAAACAAAACCAAGTTCCACCAGAAAAATAACAATTAATGTTGACATGAAGAAAATGTAATTGTGGATAAGAATCATCCCCTCTCCTTACATGCAAATGTTCTACCCACCCTCTTTCTTTACTCCGCACGAAAAAATTAACAGCAGTGAAGGAGAAACTTCTGGAGTACTGTACAACAATATACTGTATACGAGAAGTGGTGTTAATCAAATGTGGATACTTAAAAACTCCAAGGAACTTTGGGAAAATTTGAAATCACAAAATTTTACCAAAATCAATTGTATCAAAACATACGGCTTTTAACACTTTATAAACCTTTCCTCACGATACATTATAGACAATGCTTTTTGACATTATAGACAGCTGCTTCTTCAATAAATCTTCGGAAATTTTGCACGTACTTTGTTAGTGGTCATATGCAAACTTATTTAAAAAAAAAAAACATTCTTATTCTACAAAAAAATACTCCAATGTTTAGAGTATCAAGCTGCTTTAGTAAATTTGTGTCACTCCCCCTTTTTAAGGTAAAAAGAAGATCAAGTTAATTTGATCTTAGAGTCAAGAGGGATCCTTTCTTGAGTTAAAGGAATTCATGACCTTGATTATTGTCATAGCTACAGTTTACAGAAAACTGGTTATCAAATGAAAACTATGTATGCAATATATGAATTTCTCACGTTGGTCTTTAACCATTTGACATCAAAATCAGAAAAAAGGTCTTCTGTAATTAAGTCATATTGAATAAAGATATAAAAAAAATTATTCGAAACCTTAAAGAGAATTAACTCAAGTTATCACCAGGAAACCATGTTCTACAAGATATGATTTTTTAACTTTGACCCTTTGATCTCAAAACCGATAGAGATTTTCTTTAAGCCAATGGGAGTAATGATAGGAAATTTGACTGAAAAATCTCAAATAAACTAAAACCATAGTGCATCATTTGGAATCCATTAAAAAAAACAAGATGTGTTTGTGAAACACTGATGCCCCCTTTTGGCAAATTATAGAAAGGTTATAAACTTTCTCAAATGCAAATCAAATATGTTGATACCCAAAGTAAGGTCTTGTCTCGAGAAATAAACCTATGAAATATGAAAAGCCTAGCAGCAACCATTGAATAGATATGGAAAAGGTTAAAGTTTTTTTAAAAGTATGTCAAACATCAAGGTCAAGGTCAAATGGTCAAAATTAATGGTGCCAAAGGAAAGGCCTTCTCCCAAGAAATACACAGGTGAAGTATGAAGGCCGAAGCACCAATCGTTCAAAAGTTATGGCCAAGGTTAAAGTTTTCCAAAAGGAGCCCAAACTCCAAGGTCAAGGTCAAAGGGTCAAAGTTGTTGGTATCCAAAGGAAGGTCTTTTCACAAGAATTACACATGTGAAATATGAAAGCCCTAGCACCAACTGTTCAAAAGTTATCGCAAAGGTTAAAGTTTTCCAAAAGTAGGACAAACTCAAAGGTCAAGGTCAAAGGGTCAAAGTTGTAGTTATCCAAAAGAAGGTCTTGTCACAAGGATTACACATGTGAAGTATGAAAGCCCTAGCACCAACCGTTCAAAAGTTATGGCCAAGGTTAAAGTTTGGTAAAATTTTGCAAATCAAGATCAAAAGGTCATATATGGTAGTACTCAAGGAAAGGTCTTGTCATTATGAATACTCATGTCAAATATTAAAGCCTTACCCTTGACAGCGCAATAGTTATGGGCTAGGTTAAAGTTGACAACAGACAGACAGACAGACAAACAGACAGACAGGACAAAAACAATATATCCCCGGGATCTTTCGATCCCGGGGCATAAAAATAATTGTATTACTGACCTTGACCTTTGGATCTCAAAACAAAAGGTATTTTAGGCTATAGGGAGTAAGGATATTAAGTTTTTTTAACCCCCGGATCGAAAGATTCCGGGGTATATTGTTTTTGTCCTGTCTATCTGCTTGTCTGGTTGTTTGTCTGTCTGTTGTCAACTTTTACCTTGCCCATAACTTTTGATTGGTTGGGGCTATGGCTTTCATATTTCACACGTGTATTCCTTGTGACAAGACCTTTCTTTGGGTACCATCATATTTGACCTTTTGACCTTGACCTTGAAGTTTGACCCACTTTTGCAAAATTTTCTCAGACTTTAACCTTGGCTATAACTTTTGATTAGTTGGGGCTAGGGCTTTCAAACTTCAAATTTGTATACCTTGTGACAAGACCTTCCTTCGGATACCAACAACTTTGACCCTTTGACCTTGACCTTGGAGTTTGACCTTCTTTTGAAAAACTTTAACCTTGGCCATAATTTTTGAACGGTTAGAGCTAAGGTCTTCATTCTTTACACGTGTAATCCTTGTAATAAAACCTTTCTTTGGATACCACAAAATCTTGACACTTTGACCTTGACCTTGGAGTTGACCTACTTTTGAAAAACTTTAACCTTGGCCATAACTTTTGAATGGTTGGTGCTAGGGCTTTCATACTTCACATATGTAATTCTTGTAACAAGACCTTCCTTTGGATACCAACAACTTTTGACCTTGACCTTGGAGTTTGACCTCTTGGAAAATTTAAACCTTGGCCATTACTTTTGAATAATTGGTACTAGTGCTTTCATACTTCACATATGTAATCCTTGTGACAAGACCTTACTTTGGATACCAACAACTTCGACCCTTTGACCTTGGAATTTGACCTACTTTTGAAAGACTTTAACCTTGGCCATAACTTTTGAACAATTTGTGTTACCGCTTTCATATTTTACATGTGTATTTCTTGTGAGAAG